CTCCCGAGCGACCCAATAAGATGCCACCTGAGGCAGCCGCCTCATTCTGCCTAGTTATAGGGACAGCCCTTTCTAGTTCATAAGGGCTTCACTATGGAGTCTATTAATAAACAATTTGCAGAGCAATTCACCCTTTAAAGTTCTGTAAACTTTTTTGTATGAACAGAGGCAAAACCAATGTTCTTAGAATATTTTCTTTAAAAGTTGAATGTAATTTGGAATGTCATAATGTAATACTGCATTATGGCCACTAGATAGTGCTGAGGAGCACAGGGAATAAATACTTAGTTCATACACTCCTTGGTCTTTATTGGCCATAGAAAAATTATGCAGTTCGATGCATGTTCAGGTATTTATCAGCTGTGGGAGCAGCAGCGGATGAATACAATAGTTGGCAGCTGTTTAGCGTGGATGGGGGAATCTAATGATTTCTCTTATTCAGCCCTGCGGTGTGAAGCTACTTTTACTTATTGGGTATATAAACACAGTAGAAATTCCATTGGTGCAAAAGATTCAGCCTCATTCAGGCCAAAGTCGAACATGACTAGAGTTGGTCAAATGATCTATATTGAAGGGAATTAGAGCTAACTAACATGCATTGTGGTGTGTTGTGCTGTCAAAATTGCTACATTTGTCTTTTTTTGGTGAGCTAGGCACCCCATTAAAATGAATAGGCAGCTTTGACAAAAAAAACATGTTAGCGCATGGCATAATGCTTCATAACACACATGCGCTAATGCGGCACAACAGTGTGAATGGGCTCTTAATGTTTTTAAAATCTTTTCTGTGTATAATTAGTATTTATTTTACTTTCTATCTAAACAATACATTTTTATTCACACATTATATTTTATTGTTTTGTTTTGCAGCTCAGGAGTTCCATCTTCTATATCTGAGAACTGTATTTCAAGAGAAATATTTCACTGTTGCACAGGAAAATAAGGGCCAGCTGGATGTCAGAATGCAAGTTGTTACCCTTATCTTGTTACTCCTTTTTTGCAAAGCATCTGAATTTCGGAAAATAAAAAGAAACAACCGAGGAAACAATGACAAATCTCACAGCTCCAAGAAAGTTTCAAGCACTGTGAAACGCTATGCTCCGGGATTACCTTGTGATACATATACACATCTTAATGAAAAATACTTGGACTGTCAGGAGAGGAAGCAGACATCTGTCCCACAGGACTGGCCAGAAGACCTGATCCACATACTGCTGGCCAGGAACCAGATCCGTATAATAAAGAACAATGCCTTTTCTAAGTTTCAGAACCTTAAGAGTCTGGATTTGCAGCAAAATGAACTTAGAAAAATTGAGAAACAGGCCTTTTCAGGTTTGAAAAAATTATCCACTCTTTTATTGCAACACAACCGCATTAAAATCTTGTCTGAAGAAGTGTTCATACATTTGCCTCGGCTCACCTATCTACGGCTTTATGACAATCCATGGGACTGTAACTGTGAGCTGGAGTCTCTGGTGACTCTGCTACAAATTCCCCGTAACAGGAATTTTGGAAATTATGCCAAGTGTGAGTCACCAGTTGAGTTTAAAAATCAGAAGCTAAAGGAGATCACACCCCAAGTCATTTGCCAAGAAGAAGATGAAAAACCTAAACTATTAGAAGGAACTAAACCTTCTAGACCATCTGTGCATTCAACACTTTGTTATACATATCTTTATCCAATAACAACACTGGACTGCAGAAGAAAAGGTCTGTAATCATATTTACTTACATTGTATATACAGTATACAGCCCTATATTATTATTACATAATTAACAGAGAACTGAATGAGATTTAGCTTAAAATGCTTCAGAACCATATACACAAAAAATATTCATACATTAGGAGCACTGTGCAGCATGGGCAACAGTATTTCTTGCTACGTATAGATTAGAAGTTTAGATTTAGTGTGCAGACAATAATTGTTGTGGGGACTATAGTGGTGTGATAGGCAGATTTAGGTAAATAGTCCTTGGCTGGCAGGATGGCAACAACACCATTGCTGCACACTTGTCTTACAATGACTTCAAAGATGACAAAGGGCATTGTGTTGATATGATAATGGAATGCCATTTCTAAATTTCAGAAACACTTTATAAAACAGTGAAAATGTATATACACAAGTTATCCAAAATTCATAAAGGATAGAATATTTAATAGTGACGTATTAAATACAGACCAGGATTGACTACAGGTGTTACCACGGTGAAGCTTAACAACACTGAAGTTAAACACAAGACCGATATTTTAGTTATAGGCAAAGTCTGGTAGGTTGAGTCATCTGTTCATTATCTTTGAGGACATCAGTAGCTGATCTCTCTGTCCCTGACCACTGTGGAGTTTTGATGTTTCCAACTACCTTGGTACATATCCACCATTGTACATATTGTAAAAGAGAGCCAAAATTCATCAGGGATGTTGGGATATCCTCATAATGGAGGCATCCAATGCTGATATCCAGTACCACAAGGACAAAGTACTCACTAGTGGAGTTTCCACGAGGCATTAGAAATGTTCAGGTAGTTTAGTTCTCTAATACCTACCAAAATGGAAATACAGTGTGTGTTTTAAGTGTAATGGCCGTTTAATGCTTTCATTACCTACAGTTTGATTTCTTCTCTGTATGCACATCGAGGGTTTATCGATATGGGAACTGAATTATACCCTTGGCTTAATTTCTGCTGAGTTGTAACCTCAATGTCATATTACCTCCCATTCAGTGTTTATTCTCCATCATATTACAACGTACTACCTTTTATTCATGCTAAACATATTTGTTGATGCTATTGTAATTCTCCAGAACACTAAACTATATTACTTTCTATTCAATGCTCACTCTGATTACCCTTGTACTCCCCTGGAATTTTCTACAACATGTAGCTCAGATGTGCCTCAGAAAAGGGGTCAGCCATATGGAGGCCTCACCCAAAGTAAATAGAATTACGTTTTGAAGAGATTGTAAATGCAAAGGAAAAGTATTTCCCACTTTTATAATATCCAAACTCCTAGTTTAATTTCAGCTGCACAGGCTAATGTCCTATGTATTGCTGAGCTGTGGGAGGCACAGAGGGATCACACAGCATGTTGTCCAGGAGAATCATCAGATTTTTTTATGCTCCCCTTCCTTCAGATCACAAGTGGACAAGTGGAAGCTGGAGATACTACATAAAGATACTTTTAACAGCTGGAAGCGATGCAGATTAACCACAACATATGGAACTTTGTATAATAAAAACAATCAGCTTTAATAAAACAAGGATGTCTCTTCCACTAACATTTCTTTTAAGCCCATGAATGGTGGCTTTAACTCCTTCGTTCTCAATTTTAATTTGTCCTATAAAATATTATTTGCATTCTCCAAATTTATGGTTTGAATTCATCATGAGAATAATGGGAATTTAGGACCATTTTATTGAATATGTTGCTCTCAGTTAATAACCTGAATAGAAGGAGATAAGAGGTCTTCAACTCATAGCCGATATGAAGAACCCCCTGTGATTTATCTATCAGGCTTGGATGATGCTAAACACACTCACAGTGAACAGGCTGCTCACATTTCTATAGATAAAGGGAATGATCTTTCAACAAATGCAGAGATTTTGCAGATATATTGGAGAATCTCTGAAAGCTATAATAACTTCTGCTATCTGATAAACATCACAGTAAAATACGATACAATAAATAAAAGTTTATGGTGTTCTTTGAATAAAAAAAACACCGAAACATTTTGACTTGAAGGGAGTGAGTTGATTGAGGGGTGTGAGTACATTAATACTGTATGTTTGGATAAAGCGGGCAAAGATAAAAGGAATGTTAACACACCGGCTTAACTTTAACCCATCCACTGAAACATTTCTAGTAGGTTGTTTTATAATGAACAGTCATACTAAATTTAACATAATGTCACTACAATTAAAAAAAAAATGGTAATGTAAAGCTCAGTAGTATTCACTTCTAATCCACACCCATACCGCAGATATCAGTCATGGATCCAGTTTTAAAAACATTAAAGCAAAATGAATTTTTTTAATGTATTGCCAAATGACATACTAAGGTAGCAACAGCTGCATCAAAGCAACAATAATAAAACCACAATCAATGATGCTTTTCATTCTTTTAGAATTACAGCAAGTCCCAGATGACATTTCTTCAGACGTCATAAAACTAGATCTTTCCAACAATAAAATCAAACGACTACAATCAAAAGAGTTTGTAGATGTTCCAAACCTGGAGATACTAAACCTAAGCAATAATGGAATGGAAATCATAGATCCTGGTAAGAATGTTTGTAATAAGCATTAATCTTTGTTGTGGGATCAAGCAAAACTCAACAATGATTCAGTCAGATGATACACAATGAAGATATATATTTCAGGCAAAAGGGTTAGGCTAAGGCTACTTTGGCAAAAACATTTTTTTTTATTCTGAGATTTAAAGAGGCACAGTGCCCATTCAAGTCAAAGTGACAGTATCTGTGCAAAGGCTTTTCCCTAGCACACTTTTACTCACCTTTCCAGAACTCACCCACCGCTCCTTCCTCCGTCACAGCCACCACTAGTCCCCATTGTCAGCTAGTGCCAGGTTCTAGGAGGAGTGGTGACATTGCTCCCTTAGTCATGTGACAGTGTTTAGGCCTAGATTTAAGCATTGTCAAATAGGAGAAGGTCACATGCTCCCTGATACCTAGAGGTACTGGTAATTCTTGCTGGATGAAGCAGCAGAAGGAGCGATGAGGGAGAGCTGACAAGGTGAGTGTCACTGAGTCACAGGGGCCACTTTGCACAGACAAGTTATTGTCAAACAGTTATTTTTATTGTTTATTTTTGGGCAAGGTGACAGTGTCTCTTTAACTGCTTCTCAGTAGTCAATTCATGCAAAGCACCCTAAAAAAAGTGATGCTAATAAGATGACTATAAACATGTAGATAAATCTCTCAGTAGCAAATAGATTTAGTGGATGCTCCGTCTCACCAGAAAATGAAGGAAGGGTTCTCCTCAAACTGCAGGTTCTTCTCAAAGAGCAGGTTTTGGGAATGCCTGGCCTTCACTAGGGCACCCAATGGTGGGGTTGGGTTTCCTGTAGCTCAACGCAATGGTCAAAGTAATAGTCAACTCCAATCCAGGTCTACAACCTTCATTGTATAATGTAACATTTGATTCATGGCAATTTATAATTATACTGTCTGTGCTTGTATTTTGCCAGCTGCATTTTCTGGTCTCATGCATCTCCAAGAATTGGATCTATCAGAGAATAACCTTTCCAACTTCCAGTATGGAGTCCTGGAAGATCTGTACTTTTTGAAAAAGCTGTGGCTCAGAGACAACCCCTGGAGGTGTGACTACAACATTCATTACTTATTCTATTGGCTAAGGCATCACCACAACGTTAACTACAATGGTTTGGAATGCAAGGACCCAGAAGAGTACAAAGGATGGTTTGTTGGGAAATATGTCAGGAGTTATTATGAAGAATGTCCTAATGAAAGATACCAAGTACATATTGCAGTTGATGATGATGAATGGGAGCAAATTGAGGGTGCTAAAAAGAACTCAAAACAAACTGATTCTACAGAAAAACGGGGTGTCTCACTAATAGTGCTAAGTTAAATCACTGGGTTCATTTATGTGCAGTACCATTTTTTTTTTTAACAAAATTATGTTTATACTTTACATTGTCATTAAAATACTGGAAATATTTTTCTTCATGCAGAGTCCAAGAATATACTTTTATAGATTTGTAACTTCTTGAACTGTCTGGAATTTGCCCAAACAAACTTGGTAAACATGGAAATGGAAATTGCCCACATTTCCCAAGGTTGGATGAAAGTTTTTTAATATAACATTTTAAGTTTCAATTTACAGGGATCCAATTATAAAGACATTGCAAACTGAACCAGGTTTACAATGTCTTACAATCTGCAGCAGTCTACAGGCTGGCAAATGAAAAAGAGTGTGACTGAAAGTTGAAAACAAAAGTGCCACATTTTTGTAATGACTAGCGAGCTGGAACAGGAAAAAGTACAAGCTATGTGGTACAAGCTATGTAGTACACAGTGTTATAGTGTTGCTCTAACCCTGTAAAAAAAAAAACAAGAAAAATAATAGTGGAATCTAAGAGTGTTGAACCAAAGAATGGAAATGTTGAACTAGCCCTTTAAATAAGCTTTCATGAATAGATCAAACAGTGAAATGGGAAAAAAACATGTTTTAAAAAACAGTGAACTGTCCTGTTCAAGTTCTTCATAAACAAGCCCTGATTCGGTATGCTATCTAAAAAAATGGAACCTTAAGGAACTGGGCTTGAGTTTTTAATACAATTAAATTTTCCAGAATTACACAAAAATGTTTAATTGAAAACTGATTTAGTGTATCACATCTAAAGCGCAATACCAAAATGTATTACTCACCTTAGACTTGGGAGTTTGGTTTTTGGTATATTTATAATTAGTAAGTGAAACTACTATTGTGATGTAAGTACATACAACAAAACACCCAGTGTACTGCAGATGTGATGGTCGGATTGTGTGCAAGGTGTGACATGTGTCCTGGAAAACCTTTTAATATCAGATCAAAAATCAGATCAATATAATTCACTTTAAATACAGATAAGAGTATAGTGACTTTACTCTTGGCATCCATAGCAAAACTTGAGATTAACCGTTGAGTTACATTATAAGCCATGCACTGTCTACTTATAGCAGAACTAGACTCAGTTAGTAAAAATTAGATCAACAAAGCCAAAAAATAAATCTGCCTAAAGCAAAAGTGGAAGCAAAGTAGGACTGGGTGAGGGGGCATGTCAAACCCATCCTGTAAAATAATATAAACCCTAGAGATACTCCCCCAGTCAGAGATCTATCATAGTGGGACCTAGAGTCAGGGAAAGCTGTTGGAATTATATAGATATCTACTCCTGTAATCTTGTAGCATCTATTTCCCTGGTGCCCAACAAGCGGTTCACAGGCCATATGTAGCTTCTGATCAGGTCTGAAGCACAGCAGGCGGCATGCTGAGAGACAGCAACTGGTGAGCTTTAGCGCTGTAACAGGTGGTTGTCAGCTGCAGAAAAAACTATGAATAAGAACGGAATCAATCAGCTCCTGGGCTTGTGCTCCTACTTCTGAGCATTTCATAGGAAATCTGCCATCAGGCAATCTGTAGAATGTTTCTCAACCCTGGGCAAGCCATAACCACCCCAGCTGTGCAGGCAAGCTGTGCAGGGTGGGGTGTGAGGCAGCCAGATTTTGCTGTTCAGGCATCAGGCAGGTTCTCAATGTTGTCAATCGAGTGCCAGTGCAAGCAGACTGCCTGCTGCTTGAGGTCTCAGTAGTAATAATTATGTAAATTGTTCATTTTGTTAGTTAAATTACCCTTGAAAGAATCGTTTATTCTTTCTGTTATTATTTAGTTATGTAAAAAGTGAAAAAAGAAATCAAAATATACTTACAACAGCCCATATGCAAGTAGATCCTTGGTGCCCAACAAGCAGCCCACCAGCACTCAGAGTACAGCGCTCTGTGCTTGAGACCTCTTAATTAGGTTTGGAGGGCTGCACACTAACAGTGACCCAGTGGAGGGTTTAGCACTGAAACCACCGCCAGCTGTCAGTGACAGCCGTGGTCCAGCACTAAGCATGCTACTGTAACTGAATCAAAATGAATGGCACTGGAACACAAGAACATGTGTACAGGTTACAGTGCATAGTGGTTACACACAGTAAGACATACATTTTACCACACACTAACACAACACAAATTTATGACAACTAAGCTATTGTGAGGCCCTTTGAACATGAGCTGCACTTGAGACCACCTATATTTACTAAGTTGACCACCACTGATCTACTTCCTTTGCATCTTGGAGAGGTTATAAGACCGAATTCAGAGATTGGCAAAGGAAGTATATGCTGGTAGAATACAAAATTGTGAAATGTATTGCGCACATTTATTTAAGAAAGCTGAATCATAAGGATTACTTGATGATTGCCTCCCAGGTCAAATTTCCCAGTCCTCCCCTGAGTGGAAGTAAATTAACTAACCATAATGTATTTATAGGTTCCATCAACTTTTATTTTACTGTTCGAGGAACAAACCCTTTTCTGGGCTGAATATACCAATCAAGACTGTGAAGAAGACTTACACTAGCTCTATCAGGGTTATTCACAAAAGGGTGAAGGGTTTGGGGAAGGCAGGAGAAGTGAACAATCTAGGACAACATAGCTGATTTGGAAAAGTTCTCCAATTCAGCTCACTTTCCAGTTCAGCTATGTTGTCCTAGATTGTTCACTTCTCCTGCCTTCTCCCAACTCTTCACCCTTTTGGGAATAGCCCTGTATGTGTTTAGCAGTCTGTACACGAATAGTAACAACTTATAGGTATTGGGGAAACATACCGATCAATAGCCAACATAACTAATGCTAGCAAATGATGGGCAGAAGTCACCCCAGGAAGAGTGAAAGGAAAGATGTCTACCAGTCTTCTACACCAAGATCCACCACTGTTTCTTGCGAAACTTGCCCGATGGACACAAGTATTGTACTCACATTAAAAATCTTCCTTCCCTCCTCTCACAAAGAAGAGGGAAGGATCAGCTCTATCTTAAAAAGATTTTACAATATGTTTGAAAACCTCCAATAGAAATACTGAGTGCTTCTTAAAGAAAACATTATTTTCACACCTAGGGTAGACTTTAATTTTTTCAATCCTCATCCATGCATCATATTGGGTATTGGATTGGGGGCAAGATCAAGTCATTTACAACCACCCTTAGGTGATTATGCAGATAATTAGGTAGTGCAGTTTGTCTTCAGGAAGTGATAATGGAAGATTCAATGGTCTGTCAAAGCCATAACACAAAGGCATAGATTGTGTAACTATAGATATCATCTGTTTGACAATGCTGTTTAATGACATTGTGAAACATGTTAACGTCTATTTTTTCAGGGTAATTTTCAAAGAACACCAAATCTATATCAAGGTTTATGTGACAAAATTTGTATTGAAAAAACTGGAAAGTTTTAGCCAGTCTAATAAATGGCCTCCAATATGTACAAGAAAAAAATAAAAAAGAACAAAAGTCCCCCACGATTTACAGCTCCAGACAATCGAAACACTGCTTTGTGTACCATCTGTACTGTTTTAATGCTCTACTTTTATGGATGTTTGCATTATGACTCTCACAACTGG